GGGCGGATGATACCATTCTGTCAGTCAACTTGTACGCCCAATACTATTATTGGCTCTGTCTGGTGTCTGTGTACGCCACAAGCAGGCGAGACGACCTTCTCAGACACCTTTTGGTCGTTGTAGGAAGCATTCCGCGGGTACACATCCGCGCTCACCGACAAAAGTGTAACCCTCATCTTCCAAATTTTAACAATATTTTACCAGGCTACTGGCACTGCTATTGCATCAATTGACCCACGGTCTGGTGTCTTGGCACTAAGAACAGTTACACAATACGTTTTACTCGTTTCCTACAACATACCCGTTTGATCCGGTCTGCGACAAGCAACCCTTCCGGAATTGAAGCCCAGCAACGAGGATCGAGCGACGTTATAGCCTTGCGGTTTATGTCACCGTTACAGGTCTATCCTCATCACAAGCTGTACGAGGTAGCACCCTTCACATTTCACTACTACGTTGCTATGAGATTTATACAACGTATACCCGACTTCAGCTACGTCTCAAAACTGCGTTGTAGAATCATAATAGAGTCGCTCACGTATCTTCCAACCCAATGACTAGTCACTGCTGACTATCAAAATTCGTTGGGTCAGGTTACACTTCAAGCCGTGATCTTCTGAGGATTTTCGAGAGAATGTCAGCATTCACTCAAACCTCGATCAAAGTACATCGTGACATAGATAACAAAGCATATGAAGAACTGCAAAGAACTCCGGAACTCCTTCACTACCGGTATGGAAACCATTCATTGGCTGGTTTTGAAAGCCAGAACGTGTCTGGATCCAGCTTCTCGGCTCTCAAACGCCCCTCAAGCACCTCATCACTGACAGTCCTTCTTCCCTCCATAACCTGCAGTAGGCTCTTATAATACAACTCCCAATAGTCCTCCAACTGAGCATCACGGTATCCAAACCATATATCCGTCTGCCGTTCCTCAATCATCTCTTCATAAACACGCATGCGTCCTACATCCCCTACGTCCCACGTCTCCCAACCAGGGATTTGAAACACCATGCTCTCCTCGTCTTCAAGCATATGGAACTCGCTGGAAAGAGCCAAACCAAGGTTCTCCCCGCCTTGATGAATGAACCGTGAAAAGTCAAAGGGACGTTTGGAGGAATACGCTTTGTAGCAGCGACCCTCAGTATGTTGTTCGCGATAACGACGTCGACAGTATTCTTCATCCCACAAGAGAGGATACTTATACTTCCGATAAGCCGCCAACACACCCCTCCGCTGCCAGTGAAAGTGTTTACGCAAGTAATGGTATATAGCTGCCATCTCCACCCTCGGCTCTACATCCCCTCCCAAAGTAGGTACAAACCATCCAAGAAGCCCGTCCCGGAATGTCCGCATCACCATTTCCTCGGTAAAGAGCCTGGTGAAGAGTTCTTTCCAGGCGAAAGAAAATTCCCACGGCGAGGCATCGGTGTTGATGGATAGATTGGGGATGATGACATCGCTCCTTATACCGCCTTTTGAGTAGCCTTTGTTCAACGTGCCGTTGCCGAAGTGCACGATGATGTTGGAATCGAATTGCTCCCACGGATGTCTTTTGATGTTTCCTGTGGCGTGTTCGTGCCAGCGGTTGGGCATGTTGGTGAGACGGAGACCGGTACGTTCAGTAAATACCACGATGTCTGCGCTGTTGTTCCTTGGGTCACCTTTCTGGAGGGTGCGAGGTGGTGTAGGGGCTGTGAATTTCACGAGTGGGCATGAGCCATAGTCATGTGGGATTTCGAATGATAGTTTGGGGACCCAGTGGGCGAGGAAATGTTGCTCGAGGTGGGCTTTGTGGTGGCGGGTTATGTGGCGCAGGTGCGTCCATTGGTAGGCTGGGTCGTGGGAATGGAGGGTGATGAGGGTGGTGATGATTTGGTCGATGAGCTCGCGGGGGAGGGCTGGCTGCGATGTCATTGCTGGTAATCATGGATTGGAGATGTGGCTGCTGGGCGGAGCTGTGTCTGAATGTTCGACTAGTAGGCTTGTAGCTGCTGAAGCACGATGAGTCAACTAGTCGATGCATACTCGTGTTATGATCATGGAGTTAAAGACCCCTCTGATTGGATTCAATGAATTCTATAACGACAATTACATGGGTGCTGAGATGGCCCGTATGAATTCCAATAACCACGTTGATGTACACATGCAATTCCATAGCCTCTTGCGGAGGTTGGACTGTGCGCCACGCGTAACGGTGGCGTCGCGTCCATTGCAGCTATCGCCAACTACAACCGCAGCATCTACAACGACATGACTATCATCAATGCCTCGGCCAACGATACCCTTCTCTAAGATACGTTTGCCATCGGACACCTTGGCATCACGTTTGCGTGGTGTGAGACAGCCAAGTTACGAGGTCCAAAGCGGAGGTGGTGCATGGCGTACCTCGGCAACTCTTAGCTCCCAACATCAATGACCGAAGCAGTAGCCACGGACGAGTCGTCTCTCCGCATCTTTTGTTAAACTACCCCGGATTTCCTCACTGAACCGTCCTTCCCTACCTCATCCTCTCTCCACAGTACGCAATCATGTCTGTACCGTACGACCGCGCCTACGATCTGCTTAGCAACAGCAAGGATGGCCATATCTCCGCCTCTCAGCGCATTCCCGTCATCGCGCGGCCTTTTGTCAGCGAGAGGGCGGCGAAGACGCTCGACCTTGTAGGCGACTTGGCAAGCTCTGGATGGTTACATGCTAACATATTCATAGGTAGAGAAGTTCGTTGAAGAAGAGTGCATCCCCGCCGACGCCGTATACGTTCGCCAGATCGGCCAGACCGTCCAAGAGCGCTTCTCGTCACATCCGTCCATCATCGAGGACCTGAAGAAGAGGGCACAAGAGCTTGGACTATGGAACATGTTCCTGCCCAAGGCACACTTCAAAGAGGGTGCTGGCTTCAGCAACCTGGAGTACGGCCTCATGGCTGAGTACCTGGGCAAGAGCCGGACAGCTTCCGAGGCTGTCAACTGCGCTGCTCCAGATACTGGCAACATGGAGGTCATTGCCAAGTATGGTACCGAGGCGCAGAAGAGGCAGTGGCTGGATCCGCTGCTGAAGGGCGAGATTCGCTCTGCGTTCTTGATGACGGAGCCTCAGGTTGCGTCGAGTGATGCTACCAACATCGAGATGACTATTAAGAAGGATGGTGACCACTACGTTCTGAACGGCCAGGTCAGTCAACCTTCTTCCCTCCCTCACATACCACGATACTAACAACCCTCAGAAATGGTGGTCATCAGGCATCGGTGACCCTCGCTGCAAGATCTTCATCGTCCTCGGAAAGACCGACCCCAACAACTCCGACAAGTACAAGCAACAATCCGTCATCCTCGTCCCGAACACCACCCCCGGCGTAACCGTGCACCGCATGCTATCAGTCATGGGTTTCGACGACGCACCCCACGGCCACGGCCACGTGACCTTTGAGAACGTCCGCGTCCCCGCCAGCAACATGGTGCTCGGCGAAGGCCGCGGCTTCGAAATCATCCAGGGCCGTCTCGGACCCGGACGTATCCACCACGCCATGCGCAGCATCGGCTCCGCCGAGAAGGCACTAGAATGGTTCCTCGCCCGCATCAACGACGAGCGTAAGAAGCCGTTCGGCGAGCTCCTCAACAAACACGGCATCATGCTCGAGCGCGTCGCGCGCTCCCGAATCGAAATCGACGCCGCCCGCCTCTCCGTCCTCAACGCCGCCATCAAGATCGACGAGACAAACGCCAAGGGCGCGCTTAAGGAAATCGCCGAAGTCAAGGTGCTCGTCCCCGAGGTCAACCTCAAGGTTATCGACTGGGCCATGCAGGCCTACGGTGGTGCGGGTGTGAGTCAAGATACTCCGCTTGCGCAGATGTGGTCGAGTGGCCGCACGATGAGGATTGTAGATGGGCCGGATGAGGTGCATCTGCTGCAGCTGGGTAAGAATGAGAATAAGAGGGGTCTTGCGCATAAGGCTAGGATTGAGGCGCAGCAGAAGAAGGGTGAAGAGCTGTGTAGGCAGTATGGGATTGAGCCGAGGGATCCTTTGTACCTTAACAGGACGAGTGGGGAGGCTAGTAAGCTGTAGATGGCTGTCTTGGTTATAGAGATACTGTCTTAGCAATGATGATGAACTTGCATTGAATCTGCTGAGCCTCGTGGAAAATCATCTGTGATGTATTTGTTGGGTGCTGGGTGTCTAAAGACACCTTGCGTTATGCGGTTTCGAGCTCTTCAGCTGAGAAGGCTCCGCACATTGATCGCATCAGAGCTATGTCGTTGCTGTCAAGACAGCAATCGAGATCGCGGAGATACGAGCGATGTACAGCCCTGTGGATATCCGGACTTCAGATGCTGGCAAGAGGAGTACTTGAGACTTTTGCCAGAGATTGTATTTTTGTTTCTGAAAGTACCGTTTTCTTCCGAGAAGTTTGAGTATTGACTGTCTGTCTTTGGTGTCGTAAGAAGGCTTAATGAGTCCGCGGTTATTGTTCGGATCTATCGCTGGGGCATAGCTTAGGGTTGTTGCTCGGATTATTAACAAGGTTTGTAGACACGGAGATGTTAGATTGATTATTTCTTGGTCAGGGCTGTTGCTACATGTTCTTTGGGAGTGTTATCAACGATGTCTAAAAGTTATTGATGACGTTGCTTGGAGGTGTCTCGGTATGACTTTTGAATTCTGGCGTCACAAAGATACATGCACAGCGAAGTGACTCAACAGTGGGTATATGATACGATTACTACTCAGTGCAAAGAAACGTACTCAGAAATAGTGTCAGAAGGACTGAAGAAAGTGCTCCGAACGCCCGCGAGACAGCATTGTGAATGGCGTACCAGCTAGTTTGGTGTGGCACCATCGAAAAATAATGCAACGTGCGAACAAAAAGGAAAGACGTAATTGTATTCATCGATCTGGTGTTGCAAGCAACAGTATATAGGTATATAAGGATAAGTATGGTGTGCAGGGCCCCCGCAGCCTGCTCGTAAAAAGGAAAGACGTGCAACGAGAATCTCCCTGTTTATGGAAAGAGGGTCCCAAAGTCTGGCATCTCAGCCTCAGCCCACGGCTCACCCATGTCAATGAAGCTCGGTCCTTGGCTAGCGAGAGCCTTTGTGTACAGCTCGTCTGCGACTGCCTTCGCAGCGTACTGCAAATTGTTTTCCGCGAACGCAACAGCACGTCTATATTGCGCGTTGCCATCTGCAAGGAGATCGGCGCCTTGACCAACGAGGAAGATCATCATCTCAATACGGCCATGTTCCGTGGCGCCTTCGAACGCCGTTCTGCCATCAAAAAATGCTGGTGGCGCATTGACGTTGGCTTCTGCCTTGAGCAAGATTGTTGCGATATTGATATTCCCTGTGATCGCCGCTAGCTGGAGAGCCGTTGCTCCTGCTCGGATCGCTGGAGACTCGTTTGGACTGACTCCCTGGTCTAGCAGATACTCTACGATTTCCTTGCTTTCCGCTTGTGCTGCCGCCTGCAGTGGTGTTCGAGTAACCGTCACTTCGGCTGGTAAGGATATGTTGGCGCCTGCTTGTTGTAACCTCTGAACGATGTCCAAAGAGCCCAAAGAGATTGCGTGGAGTAGGCTAGTCATGTTACCAAGTTTGAAGTCTTGATGTACAATAGTGTTGTGGTCTTTAACCAGAGGCAGGAGAACGTCAATAACTTCGCCAGTGTCATCACCTTCGGAGAAAAGACGGAATGCTTCGCCAAGTGGACTCGTAAAATATGCACTTGGTCGAAACCGCCCATGGCCGTCAGGCGTGGTTCTCCAATTCTCTTCAACGGGCCCTGTGATATCGGTATTCATTGCGAGAAGCCTAAGAAGTCGCATGTTCTTGCGTCTTATGGCTTGATAGAGTGCATCTGAGCCAAAATAATGTACCCCGTCTGGGTATCGTGCCCTAAAAGCGGAGAGTATCACCGCCATGGCATCTTCGAAGTCGCGCATGATGCATACGAAAAGAGCGCTATTATCGAAGGGGTCCGCTCTCAGGCGCAGGAACTCTTCCAGTAAAGGGAGATCGTTTGTGAATACAGCGGCAGCAAGCGGTGTTAGATTCCACCCATCGTCCACGAAATATGAATACCGTGACGCAATGGGGGTAGATTGGTGCGATGTGTATTGTGAGTTGAACTGATGTGGTAGCAGAAGTCGTGCACCGTATGCAATCAATGCTTTTACTGCTGCTGAGTTCCGCTTCACGATAGCGGCGCTAAGGGGGGTTATGTTCCAATAGTCAGCACGCCCAGGTGGTCGCAAGTCTAATTTCCAGTCGTGAAACTCATTGAACTTTGGCCGGATGGACACGTTGACAGGGTGTCCACTTCGAAGTACGCAATCAATTGCGATTTGATTACCCCAGCTCAACACTTCAAAGAGTATGACGTTGTCGTACTCCGGGTAAAAACGACCTTCAGCATCCCGAACGGGATCATACTTTCTGTAAAACCCGTCGTTTTCTCTCAAGATGCCGTATATGTCCATACAACTCGTCAACAGCTTGACAGGTTCTAGTCGCCTGCTTTGAATCGCTTTGTATAGGCACCTCAGGGACGGCCTGATGCCCAGAGACAGGAGCTGTTCGATAATGTGGTGTTGATTCTCTCCCATGGCAGCTTCAAGAGCGTTCTCTATGTTCTTAAGCCTGCTAGGAAAGCTTTGCAATTGCAGCAGCAGACTCATAAGCCTGCTGTCCCCAACCTGACACGCTGCTACGAAGGCGTGAACAAAGCCAGCCGATTGATGGGCCAGTTCAGAGACATATCTCCGCGCTTGAAGTATCTCGAACGCTCCCTTGGATCGATTCGTAATGGCTTCGCCTAACGCCGTACAAATCTCGGGCTGTAATGGGCGCGTAGTTGGTTCCTCGCAGTAGGGTATAGTAACTTCGGCGTTGGGGTCTAGACCACGATCCAGAAACTCTACAAGGATTTTCAAATCGTTGCCTCTGACAGCACCGGTCAAGCAAATATCATCTGGCATCGCGCCCTTTGCAAGCAAAAGATCGAAGGCCGAAACATAGTTGCGTAGAACTGTACAATACAGGGAAGTAGATAACACCTCGTTCCAAAGATCTCGGTGACCGCTGCTAGCTGATGAAGCTCGGTCCAGGATTGTTTCCAGTATCTCGAAGAAGGAATCGTCCAAGTCTGTTCGCCACAATATACACGGCAAAGCGCGTTTCTGAAAGAAGATTTGAAAGCTCATGTCCCGGCAGTGAGTGGCTAATAGTGGTAAATACTGTTGGTCGCACCGTGACAAGAGTATCGCGATGGACCTAGACTCTGATGATTCGAACTCTAGACCATGGTCAAACAACAGTCGCAAGATTTGAAGTCCAACTGCATAGCCTGGGTGTTCGGCTGGTAAAGTCCCCGCTAAGATCAGCATGTGATCCGCGAACATCTGCTGATTAGGATCAGCGCCGAATTCGAGGAGGACTTGTGTTGCTTGCAGGTATCCTTTGAGACTTGTATACTCCAATGGGTAATATTGAGCATATCCTATGGTGACGGGGCGATCCACAAATCTTTCTCTATCCATTCTCATGATCATACTCAAGACGGGTCCATTCCCCAGAATCAGCGCTGCACAGAAGATGTTCTGTATTAATGCCAGATCGTAGGGAGAGGGAGTGGCATTGATGATGTTCATGAGAACTTCGTTTCCAAGTGAGAGGCAATAAGTTATCCCTTCTCTGAGGAATCGGTCGAGCTTAGTCTCGGGGCTAATGAGCGCCTGGATAGCATTACCGTCGTTGACTAATCGATGAAAGATCATGTACATGATTTGACGATCGATGCTTTGTTGGCGTACAAGTTGAAAGGAGCCTTCGTGCAAGATATTCCTGAAGATAGCCTCAAAGGCACTGCTGTCTTCAAACGAGATCATAGTGCCGAGTGATCCGAACTTTGGTAAGCGCAAGATAACCGGCATGATCAGTGTTGCGAAACTTGATGCGAGGGGGTTTCCCGAATGCCTGGGGGCAGCGTTCCAGTTCGTATAAGGTAGCCATGCCGAGTCGAACACATCATCTGCGCCTGGACTCGCGCCTGAAGCTGACATGTGGTCACGAGAAAAGAACAAGTCAACTCCGGTATGGCGAGACGACGTAGTCAAGCTTATGTCACCAGGCGCGGAATCTGATGATATTTCAAGCAGTTCTTCGAGTGAAGCCGACCAGGCATGTACGAGCGACCCAGGACCGAGCGGAGCACACCGTGGAGCAGAGCGGTATGGTGAGAGACTATTGGTTGCAAGGTTCCGTCGGATCGGGTAGGCTACAAGTTTTAGTCGGCAAAAATTTAATAACAGAGGCGAATCGAAGCTCTTACCTTCAACGGTCAGAGTCCTACCATGATGTCTGGTATGGGATCCCGTCTGCTGGCCTTCAGCCCTTCCTTCCTGGGCTATTGACACTCTACTACGCCGATTGGATGAGGGTCCATATTTGGAGAAGCCCCATTTCTTCACCCTATTCTCGTATTGTGCTTTTCTGCGCGGAAGTCAATACCCAATAGTTGGCTTACGCGACGATGAAGCGCTTTGTCGTGCACTTACGTTGCTGAGAAATGGTACTCAGTGGACATAATGTCTCTGACCCCACCTAAAGCTGTAAGAGGCAAGTCTTCCAAGACATACAGGCGGTGAATAGTAGATTTGTGCAGGTTCCACTCGCACTTCGGTATGCGTTGCGTGTAGGGTTTGTCGGGCATAGTTGCGTTTGAAACAGAGATGCATTCACCAAGAGAGTAGCTAGAGATGTGAAAAACAGATTCTCTAATGACCAGGCTGAACGCGGGGCACTTGCCTGCATTATGAGAGACCGCATCACGTGAATGGCGCCTGCCAGCCCTCCAGCTATTTGCGAAATCTGAATTCAGCCACATCCTGCATGCATGCTAAACCAATGGTATCTGCAGTACTTACCGATTTATGCAATTCGTATAGTAGAATCTAGTTCGAGGCTTACGCCCATCGCTGATTCGTCCTGAATGCAATGACTGCGCCTGCCCATTTCACATTTCGGCACGCTCAGCCTCCTCCCACTCAGATTTCGGCACGTCCGGCCTTGTCTAATTGTTATTTGAACGCGTGTGGCATCATACGCTTGGAATACCAACGCGTATGACCTTGTACATGTGAGATTCCGATATGCTGAGCCTCGTCCCATTCGGATTCTTTTACGTCTAGCCTGATGCGGTCAAAATGCGAGGCTGAAACCTTAAACACCAGCTAGATTTGCCAAATTTGAATCTGAGGACTGTGGCAGAAATCTGCTTTTCCAGCATATATGATGGGCGGGCAAGGACGTTGATCCGCTCAGTAACGCGTATGTCTGATGATGGCCTGGTCAAAAGACAACACGATCTCTGTTCTCGCTCTTCTTGCAACATGTATACCAATGTTCATCCTGATGGCTACATGTCTGTTGCGTCAGAGAAGACGTCGCGCTAGGCAGCGATGTGAGTGACTGGACGAGGAAGCCGCGATAGCAGCGATGCTGACAAAGACAGCCCGAACAGACATTGAAGCACCATCGGTATTACCTCGCTTGAAGCCCCTCCATTATGGGCCAGTTCGCAGGGAGTCTGCGCTCATGGCATTGATTGTCGTCCAGAGGGAGGTGCAGGTTGCGGATCGTGGGTCTTATCAGTCGACCGGAGTATGTTGAGGGAAGCAAGTGTCACGTGCCCTTAGTTTCATTAGCTGGGGAGTCCTTGGTGAAGCCGTTGTTGGGGATTTTGGAGCCATCTGTGTAGTTGATGTTAGACTGGAGATGAGATGGTTTTGTTACACGGGGTTGATAGCTGCCAAACCTCCAGGGCAGGGCAGGTGCGGGATGGTTCCGCTAGCGCGAACGCGTAATTGAGAGGCTCAAGCACGCGATCAATGCATGAGGTTCACATCGCGCCAAACCACACGTCAACGACATGCCACCCCACAGTAGAGGGGAGTCCCTTCCTTCAGGGTTCTACTCAAAATCTACGCCTAATCTCCCTGCCTTGACGTCATTCGATGGGCAGAGTCGCGAGGACAGCACGGTAACATCCCCTCCACGCTCCGCGACTCGTCCAGGAGCAACTCCTCTATCGCCAATATCGAATAGCGCTCTCTCCGAGGCGGCGTCTGTAGAGGACAACCAAGATGAAGACGAGGACCCTTTCATGGTGGAGGACGTAGTCAGCGAAGATGAAGAGGACGAAGAGGAGCCAGCGCCTACGTCTCGACCATTACAAACCTCTAAATCGTATAGTCACCTCCCGCGACATACTGCGACTGCGCTTTTCCCGCCCTTCTACAACAGGCCTCCGACTCCGCTACCGCCGTCTCCATCATTGACCTCGCTACTTCGCCCCGCCTTCAGCCGCCCAACGTCGAGACCTACAACACCAGACTCGTCGGATGTAGAAGGATATACCAGAGCTGGCTCGCATACCACAGGCACAAGCACACCCACGAACCTCGCGAGCTCGGCACGGCATGCGCCGACGGTACCCCGGGCCTCGCCGAAAGTACCTACATACGAATACTACGGCTTTGCACTGTACCTGGGGAGCTCCGCTGCGTTCCTGATGTACATCCTCTGGGCTTACGTACCAGCTCCGATGCTGCATCAGATGGGCATCCACTACTACCCGAACCGGTGGTGGGCGCTCGCGGTGCCATGCTGGTTGGTGGTGCTAGTCATATACATCTACGTTGCCCTTGCAAGCTACAACACGCGCTACCTAACACTACCGCTGAGCAGCTGCGAGAACCTCGTCGATGAATGCGCACAGATAGCCGTTGTCGATCGCATGACTGGGCAGATAGTACGCGACCCGGTGCTAGTCACAGACAAGCTACACGACAAGGACAAGGAAAAAGGCACTAGAGCCAGTGCATCTCCCAGCCGACGAAGCTCTTTCTCGGCATATCAATTTAGCGCACAAGATGAAGTGGACTGGAAAGGTTTCTGGAGCACGGGAACAGATGCCGTGATGGATGTGCCAATTGGCGGCGTCTGCGAGATACTCTATGGCCGCGACAGATGAATGATATCGTCATCCTGACTACTACTTATTCAGCGCGACTGTCATTCTCGGCCAAAGATACCTTGTGCGCGGAAAAAGCTTGTCGCGGGCAGTGGGTCGCTCTAACCCCCACTTACACCTGCCCCTCCCGAACTGCGAGATTCGGAAAGAACCATGCTCGTCAGGCAAGCGCCCCGCTACATTATGAGCTGTTTGTTCTTCGGATTGGGCGGATGGCTCCTGCTATCTAGCTGCTGTAGCTTAATCCCGAGCCTGGTTTACTTACTCAGCGGGGCATGCAGCGAGATAGCTGGTATAAGTCCTTCCTGATGTCCGCCTTTACTCTTTTCCCATCCCACCTCTGCTCGTGAGATTCGCCGCTTTGCCCTGGGTTCAATTGCTTCACTCGCTTCTTGAACAGCTTCCTTCGTTGACAAGCGTTCAATTGCCCATCATGAAGTCTGTCGTCGCGCTTTCCGCTCTCTCCATGCTCGCCGGTGCCGAGGCAGCTGAGACCGTCCTGGGAGCTTACATCTTCCACCGCCATGGCGACCGTACACCAAAGGCTCTTGCTCCTACCAACTTGACTGCTCTTGGTTACGAACAGGTCTACACATCCGGCCAGTACTACCGCTCACGTTATCTGTCCGGCGAATCGAAGATCCACGGCATCAACGAGGATGAAGTCAAGCTGTCCCAGCTTCAGGTTCAAGCACCGGTCGACAATGTCCTCCAGAACTCGGCCATGGGTTTCCTCCAGGGACTTTACCCTCCTGTCCAGACGGTTCAGACTCTTGCCAATGGCCAGAGCGTACAAGCGCCAATGGATGGCTACCAGCTCATCCCAGTCAACACCATCGAGACCGGCTCCGGCTCTGAGGACAATGGCTGGCTGCAGGATGCTTCGAGCTGCCAAAACGCAAAGACCAGCTCAAACTCCTACTTCGACAGTGAAGCGTACAAGAGCCTTGCGTCCAGCTCCAAGGACTTCTACTCTTCCATTGTTCCCTCAATGAACGGCGTGGTCAGCGATGAGCAGGTGTCTTTCAAGAACGCCTACGTCGGTATGTCTCGTCCCAATCCTCATGTATAAGCCAAACTAACATGAACAGTCTACGACACCATCCACGTAGCCGAAATCCACAACTCCAGCATCCCCAACTCCGAAGCCCTGACCAACACCACCCTTACCCAACTCCGCACTCTCGCCGATGCCCACGAGTGGGGTCTCGCCTACAACGCCAGCGACAACATGCGCGCAGTAGCCGGCATGCAACTCGCAGGAGAAATCCTCGAATACATGAACAACATCATCAGCACCTCCGGCTCCAAGAAGTTCGGCATCCAATTCGGCGCCTACGCAACCTTCATGTCCTTCTTCGGTCTTGCCGACCTGCAGAAGGTCAGCGACGACTTCACCGGCGTAGTCGACTACGCTAGCTCCATGGTCTTCGAGCTTTTCACCAACGCGGACGTTGATTCGGGTTTCCCCAACGGAGACGACCTGCAAGTCCGCTTCCTGTTCCACAACGGCACGGCTAGCAACACCAGTGAACCCTCTGTCTTCCCTCTCTTCGGCGGTAGCGAGAACGCTGTCTCGTGGACCACTTTCCAGGATAAGCTGAATGAGTTTGCGATTACTACTACGGAGCAATGGTGCACTAAGTGTGGTAACACTGCTGGTTCTTGCGCTGCGTTTGTTAAGGACAACGGGGCTACTACTGCTCAGCAGAGTGGAAACGGTAGCAGCGATATGTCGCCTGCGGTTGGTGGCGTCATTGGTGCTTTTGTTACGCTGGCTGTTGTTCTGGGCTCGCTCGCGGTGCTTATGCTGGTCGGTGGATTCAGGCTTGTTAGCAAGAAGGCGCTGCAGAGGGGTGTGCCGCAGAGCAGTGTTGAGCCTAAGGCTTAGGGTCTGCTTGGGGGAGACGGCGTGTTGTATGGTAGTGAAGCGAAGGATGGAGAATTTCACATCAGTTACTGGACGTGGTATGGTATGAAAAGGAAACGAACAAGAGGTGTCACGATTTGTACGAGATTAACGAATGA